ATATGAAAGTATTTGCCTTACATCGCATATCACATTTGTTTCGAGTTAGAACAGTGATGTCCAAACATTATCAGATGGCGCTCCCATGAGTATCTGGCAAGGGACTCCCATCCCACCCCTGACCCCCACCCCATCCCTGACCCCTTTCCACCCCGACCCCACCCCACCCTGACCCCCACCCCTGACCCCCACCCCACCTCTGACCCCCATCCAACCCCTGACCCCCATCCCATTCCTGACCCCCATCCTACATTACAAAATGTAAATTAAAAGAGGACAACGAGAGAAATCCAAAGCACGCTATATAAAAGCTTGATGGAGAAAAACATCTACATAAAACAAACGATGTGTCCAGATAATAATAATGTGATAGTCGAAATTGTTCTGTTTTCATCATATCCGATAGTTTTCATCTGAAGTTAGACAAAGCACACAGAGAACACTCCCCGCACCAAGCTGACAACGCTAATTTATTTCCATGACTGTTGAAGCTGACAATCTAGATTATTACAAGTACAAACGCACTCAGTTTCAAAATTGCTCGACGCCCGTAGGAATCTTCCTCACGGCCCCAGGTTTGCGACCACTGCTTTATACTGAAACATTTATGTCGTTCATCCAGAAATAATACTGAGCCATCTCGCTTGCCTCTGTCTGAAACAAAATTGTTAACTTTCGACCAGAATCAGTAGTCCGTAGTCAGTTTTAGTTTTAGTTTAAGTTTTACTACAAATGGGTCACCCCATAATTGTTACGTTCTTGTGCCAGTGACAATCGCACGAAATTTCCCTCACTTTTCCGTTTTAAACTTGGTGAACACAAAAATAATCTAGCCAACGTCAAGACACGTGCACATGCAGTAAAAGCATAAAGAAGTTGCTAGACGTGCGGAAACCAACAGTCGTCACCCAGATAGCAATTGTCTTTGAAGGATGTAGTAATTGACAACACGTTGGGCTCACACACTTTAGATAAATACATAAGGTGCTTAGTCAGTCACGACAAGCTAGCCGTATACATACAATATTAATACATGAGATACTTAGCCAGCCCGAAAACAAACCAGCTATCAGTCATGATATGAGTATCACGAGGCAAACCGCTGGGGGTACAGGTGAAAGCATTACCCACCAAACACATTTTGGTAATAATTTATTCCGATTACTTCCATATAAGGCAATGCTCGAACCATAGATGAGTTTTCATGACATCATTAGGTATTTTTGTAGGAGGAATGTCAGAACTATTAGTTTCGACCATTATACTGAGAAAGTTAAGATTTCTGACCTAAAATAAATAAACAAAAGGGGTGGCGGAAACTTGTATGTTGTTGATGATAAAATACTTAAAGGTTTTAAATAATGAAATTATAATATGTTAAAGGCTATTAAATTTTCAAATTATCTCAGAATTATGAGGACATTATGCATTCGTATATACATACACACAATTAACAATACACAGTGCATCGATAGACAAGTTATATATCATCCTAACGAACAATCATGTACGTATCCTTGTAAATAGAAGCAGTCATTAACATATGCAAATTAACGTCGATACAATTTGTGTCCATTAGGAATATAAAACAAAAAGTGACATTCCATGTTGACACAAATACAAAATTCACAAATTCAATGAGCCGTTTCTCTTTAGTCCACGTTTCTTTTCCTGATAACTTTTTGTTTTTGATTTTGCTATATTTCTCGTTTAGCAGTCACTTTTTGCTGACAAATTAATTCCGATGATTTTTCCCTCCTCTCATTTTCTCAATGTTAATGGTTTAATTTGAACTTCTGTAAAAATACAGCTCATTTTATGATCCATCATTCAGTTCATGCAATGCTGCACTCCTGATAGATCATGTTTGTTTTGTGCCTAATCTCCAGGTCATTTGGCCAAAACAAAAACAAAAACAAGTTGTGGAATTTCCTGCTGACTCTAAAAGTGGATGCCGTACTGTTTGGTATGTTTCACGTCAGATGATACCACTATAATAATTAGGCAAGAATAATTAGGCCCAGCTTTGTTTAATACACTCATGTAGTTATCGTTGCATAACAGTGTAAATATTTGCTCTTTGTGATTGCTTTCTTTATTTCTTCTCGTTTTCTTGTTCTTTCCGTTCTATATTTCCTTCTTTAGTGTCTTCTCGATATTACGAATTTTTTTTTTTTTATATTTTTTTCTTTCTCACTGTTTGAAAGATCAGCCGTTGGAAAAGCAAAAGGTTAGATTGCAGTTTAGATTGCGATTCTTAACTTTGAAAATAAAATGCATTCGTTCTTTTTTCCCCCCACATCATCATCATAACAAATTCTGCTGATACGCCTCCTGGCGAGGAATAATGTGTGATTCAGTGCACGATTTCTGGCAGTGGCTATTGTCATACCTTGAATGCGTAATGTGTTTTTAATGTTGTCGATCCATGGTTTTCGCGACCGTCCTATCGCTTTAGTATTTGATGTTATGAAGTGTAGGGCCTGTAATGGTGTTTCATCTTGTTGCATTCTAATTCAAAGGCCAAACCATTTGATCTGCTGTTTCTAAGTGAATCAAGTACAATGGACCGTTCCCACAATCTATCTGATAGTATCGTTATTCACTCGATCGCGAATGGTTAGGTTCGTTCGTTCATTCACTTCTTTTAAGCCGAGCTCATTCTTACTTTGTAATGTAGTTACTTCTAATTTTCTCTGTTTCTGTGTACGCTTGACTTTGATTATTTCTTAAATTATTTGGCATTGAAGGGGGGTTTTATTTAGCTTGCATTAGTTTCTGACTAGAATTCACACTAATTCACAACACTTCAGTTCATCTATCCACAGTTAACATTATCTTCATGTTTCTTGACCGCTTTCTTTATTATATGCTGTTTAAACCTAATTTCAAAGCAGTGCACAGAGCTCAAGACAGATGTGCTATGCTGGAGGTACTGTTAAATTTCCAAGTGGTAATAATTCAAACTGCATGCAGTATTACTGAAGCTGCGACAGGCCTAGAAAGTCGTCAGTGGATATTAAATTCCCATGAAATGAAAAGAAACACACGTGCAGAAACTATTCCCACCCTAGTTTCACACCGGAGACATCAACAACATTTTCCGTAAAATTATCATTGAATACGACAACATAACTGTTATCATGGGCTCTGTCTTGCGTTTTGGAGCCATGATCAAGCGATCTTGGATTTCAGCAGTGCTTATCTTTTCAGTCCTCTCCCCTTTTTTTTTCTAATTTCCCGGAATACATTCCTTCTGTAATTTCTCCTTTCTGTTGCTGGTGTAGGGACCGAAGCTCTTGCGTTATCAGCTCATCGCGTGATAGGCACGTACCAGGTGTTCGGTTTCTAAGACGGTGTTCGAGTTTCAAGGTAAAAATACTTGAAAATTTCGTTCGCATTTCAAGTTGTTCGAGTTTGTGGCGTTCGAATTCCGAGGTACAACTGTCTTCGGAACTTAACCTGTTTTAGGTCACGACGAGGGCCATGTTTTCATCTTTTTCGCTTACTCATCTTCCCAGTGGTCGGGTGTTTCAGTCTTTATTGTCTAATCTTCTTTCGTATCCGAGTGACGTAACTGCGTTTTGCCTGGTTACAGTATGATATTTGCCACTTTCGACTGAGCCATCTGACTTCATCAGGCATTTTTTCACCAGGTTAATAGCACGGCTACCTCCAGATAAAAGGCCATACAGCTGAAACGAGAATTCCTGTTTGTGAGGCTGGCGTGGCCGGTCGGTGGTAACAATTGTTATCGAGTAGATTTACTCACAAATTAAACTACGGTTTAATTAATTTGCAACGTGTGTTATTGAATAAATTATCATCTTGAAGATAAAAAATTTTTAACATCCCATTTATTTATCTTCAAAAACACCGCTGCATCTGTATGCCGTTTGTAGTAAGCTGTCTTCGAGGGTAACCCTTTCAAACAATTTCATTACTGCCTTTATTTTTTTATTTGTGTGTGTGTGTCGTTTCATGGGAATAAAATAATTATTCTGTAATATAATATATCTGGTGCCTAAAGGATTCTCTAATTTGTTATCTTTTTCTCCCCCCCCCCCTCCCCTCATTTTTTTTTCAACCTTTGGTGACGGGGAAGAATTGCACATAAGATTTTTGTTTGTCATGATAGAAAATGACATTTCTGTAGGTCCTATCATTTTTCCCTTTCTCGCCGCCGGGCATCTTTCAGTTGGTTGTAGCCACACTCGCTAACACAGCTAAGCGCACACATAATGACTGACACACCTCCAAGTAGAGGAAATAGTCAGGGATGCCGACACTAAGAAAACAATGGGGGGGGGGATGGGCGGAGCTCCATCCCTTATAATTTTCTATGGGTTCTTCAAGGCTATAAGCTTTTTGACAAATTAGGCGAAATAATAATAATAATAATTGTTAATATTAATGTCATGGAAGAAAAACATACCATTAAACAAATAAAGTATCGACAGCCAGACTACAAATAATTTATGAAAAGAAGTATGCTGAAGAATCGAAAACAGATCAAGTGGGTGTAAGAATGGAGACAAACAGGACAAGACTAACGGGTCAGTCTACTTATTATTTACGCAGCGGCAATGAAATAAAGTCTATTAGAGATAATTAGAAAAGTGTAAACAAATACTTAAAAACAGAGCTTCAGTATATGGTTTGTGGGTGGAGGGGAGGGGGCACAGAGATCCCTTGCAAAATTAATGAGGGAGAGATTGTAGAGGAGTGGGCTCTGCCTAACCCTCAAATTATTGTAAGCGGTGAAAAGAGGTGTGGTGGGGCTGTATGGGTCATACGTCGTCTCTGATTGCCCAGCAGTTATCTACATCCATGTGAGCTTTTACACAATTATTAACGAGTTATTAAAACATTACTTTCGTCACGTGAGGCCGCAGCCCTCCCTCAAAGTTGAGGGATGGGGGTATAAGGGGCCTGAGCCCTAAAGTTCCTGCCTCCCTACCCTCTTCGGAAGACGAACACAGACACACAATAACACAAACCTGTCGGTGCAGATGGCTGTCCCTCGCCCACAAGCGACAGCCCATGAGGGTGTACAGGACCACGATAGCGCTGCCAGGTACCCAGTAAATGCACACAAGGAACGACACGTCATACACTTGGCGCATCACGTGACTAGGCCAGGCTTCCGTGCAGTACGCGTTGTGCACCCCGAATTCTGGTTCCACAACCTGTTAATAGAAACCATGAACGGGTTTATAGCATTGTTTGAAGAACAAGGGGAGGAATGGTGCAGCGGCTACACGGAAGGTCTGAAGGTCGGGGGTTCAAATCCGAAAGGAGCAGGAATTGTCTTAAACATGATTTATGCTCCCAGGTTGAGAAAGCCGTTAATGGTTACCATGTAAAGTCCTTGGAAGTAGAGATGACCTACATGATGTTAACCACTTAACCCATATATTGTCTACAAAATATAGGCATTTTATGTGTGCCCAGTGTGCCTAAAGGCGTGGAAAAGAGTCTTCTACTTTCTTCTTCTTCTCTTTATTTTTTAATGAATAGCACGAATCTAAAAGGAGAAGTTTATAGAATACAGTCATCATCGTCACCATCATCATTGTCGTCACATCAACAATCATTATCATCATCATCATCATTTATTTCATATTCATGGTGTGGTGAACATTACTCTTCATCTTTCTCCTCGACGATTGCTACCTGTGGGATAAACACATTATGTTGTCCGTCCATCACGAGGGATGAAGACCACCTTTCATCCAAAGTAGTAATGATAAAGGATCATGAGTACTAAGGTGGCTGATTAGTCTGATACGAGCCAGAAAAATTCTTCAGCAGTGCGGACAACGGATGGAAGCCGCAGTAAGTGTGGGATTAGCAATACGATTCTTTCTAGTCTGCTTCCGTTTCTCTGCAAGCTGTGCCTGGCAGGCCGGTGCAAGCCATCAGAACGGTCGGCAGCAGACTCTCGCGCCGCTGTGTTGATACCTAAAGAATTGAGAGCAGTCTTCAGAGTGTCTTTATAGCGCTGTGCCTGTCCTCCCTGGGCAACACATTATAGATAAGGATCAAACAGCAGCACATCCTTGGAAACAGCCCTCAACCGTATAACACTGCTATATAACATACAGCAGCTATATTAAGAAATCTTTATGCCACTGACCTGACGATGCGATCTTGTGTTAGCAGACTATCAGTCGCGAAGCTGTGTCTGATGCCAAAAGAATTGAGAGTCAGTCTTCAGAGTGTCTTTGATAATTGCGCTGTGTTTGTACTGTCCTTTCACTCTGGGCTCACACATTATAGATACACCAACAATCAAACAGCAAATCATTTGTTTATTTCAGTTTAAATATTTATGCAAAATCCTTGGAAACAAAAAGTTATAGTGTTTTTTATGTTTCCCTCATAAAAAACGAGAAATATAAAATAAGGTGCTATATTTGAATTGTGGGGTGCTAAAGGTTAACACACCGCTACGGTTGCAAAGTAACAGGTAATCTAGTGTGCAGATAGAATATGATCATCATTTCGTTTTTTTTTCGACTGGCGTGAGCCATTATATTTCTCTACATCTTTTTTAGTGTAGCCTCCAATGTGGCAATACCCTATTTAGGCAAAGCACTTCGAGAGTAAACACCTGATGACTATTTCAGAGCTGAAATCCCTCAGACGGCTCAAAAACTCCTGCAGTCTCCGGTGGCAAGCTGTATATTGGCAATTGTCTTTTCCTTGATATTACCGGCGATGTAAAGAGGGGGTGTCTGTGCTGTCTGGACACCAGACTGTACTCGGGTGCGGCAGGGATGCATGGTCTCCATGTATGGCGTCCGGCTCCAGTGCTGTAGGTTCCGGGTTCAAGCTCCGGTGAAGGCTGGGATTTGTTCACGTGGACTTCTAGTAATTTCCCCTTGTCTCAGGGTAGTAAGATCGGACGCCCGTGTGTGTTGTTGAGCATGTAAAAAATCCCTTGGCAGTTGGAAATCGAAAAGAGTAACATAATGGCGCTGCCCGTGCAAAATTTAGAGCTAAAAATCGACCCAAAGTATTTCAGGATTTTCGCCGGGTCTATGGAGTTCGTACACTGCGCTGAGATTCGTCGGACTCAGATTTGAGTCAGAAGCAGAACGGAGCGCTTATGGGTTACTACCCTTGTGTAATGACGTTGATCCGTCGTCTAAACTCTAACCTGAACGTTAATTCAACATTCTCATCTCTGTAAGCTGTAGAGGTTACAGACACAGCAGAAGCTTTTTCCGAAATCAAGAGGCACAACTGCAAGATCCCCAGGGACTTATATTTGCCCACGAGGTTCTGACATCGCCACAGACGGGTGGCACGATAGCTGCCAGGTTTCTGTGCCAGAGAAAATCACACAAAATATCTGTTACTGTCCAGTTTGAAAAACTAGTGAAAAACTTGTCTGTGCCAGTAGAATCTTGAAGCTTGCGAACGCAAAGTTAAAATGCCCCTGTCAGATGTACCAACAATAACGGTTCTATTGAGAATAGCAGTTCATTATTGGCGCAAATTTGGTCACCATTGTGAATGTACACTGTCATCCATTTTTTTAATGCAGCCAACACCACGCTACAGTAACACATTAAAAAAAAAAAACCTAAAAGAAACTGCACCTTAAATCTATAACTCAAAGTGTCGCACCCAACAACTAAACTGAGCACTTAACTAAGGAGTTTGGCGACGAAACCTGTTGACTTCCTGTTCAGAGATAAGATATTTCCATCAGCAAAACCTGATTGGCAAGAAATACCTGTTCAGAGCTTCAGCGATCAGCCAGCTATAGAAACGTTATGGCCAGAAGTCCTCTATCTGAGGTCTCAGATATTCGACACAAAATTATGTGCTGACACAAGAATGTGTCATTTTGTGTTTAAACATTTATAATCAGTTAAGCAGACGTGGAGCGTTTAGAGCCTTGCGCTGTTGTTCGAGAGACTCGGTTTGAATCTTAAGCAAGATTATAGGATTATTTTTTGTCTGTGAAGGCAGTAATACATTCTCTAACTGCGCAGTTCGTGGGGTATCTACTAGCCTTGCGCTCTTAAATCCGCAGGATTAATAACAGGATTGAGGATCCATTAATATTAGGATTACATACATAATAATGATAGGACTGAATATAGAATAATAATATAATTGAATGTACATTGCTAATAGGACTGAAAATATTATATTTAATGGGATAAAAATACACTACATTTTCGCAGTGCTATAATAAGGGCAGGAAAAAAAAAATTATTCATTACTGTGTTGATTAAGAAAAAGATTTGGACAAAGGGACATTAGAATTTGATTAAAAAACAGATTTGGACAAAGGGACATTAGAAGTTGATTTAGAAAAAGATTTGGACAAAGGGACATTAGAAGTTGATTTAGAAAAAGATTTAGACAAAGGGACATAAGAACAAAACTGAGGCTTTGAAATATTATATCAACGAATAGGCGAGATCCCAAGCAAAGAGACGAACACATGAACAAAAAAAAAGATAAAAGCTATATCACAAGGAAACATGAATGAGACTTTTGCCGAGGCAATAAAAACTCGCCGGGCACCCGAGGGGATAGTTCCTTGTTACCGGATGCTAACGGAGGGACTAGATTGAAAGCATGCATGAGACAGACAATTGTACACGTAAAGGGACAACATATAGACAGACTGGCAGGATGTGTCTGTCTCTGTGTATCCAGAAAACCGTCATTAGAAATGTCTTTGGAGCGCATTATAGCTGAGTTTAAATAAGGGCATGGAACTAGATGATGATAAATGAACTTTTGACTGTTCTTTTGAAGATTATCTTCATTGAACATTGCGGTGTATCAGCATGTACTTGGATTTATTTCTAAGCATGTTTCTTAGTCTGTTTATGTTGGTGACTGTGGTTCTGTATTGGTTGCAGTCTGAATAAATGAATTAATCAGTGAATGAAGGAAGGGGTGAGTGAGTGAGTGAGTGGGTGAGTAAGTGAATGAACTCTTCTTTTGGCCTCAAGAGCTGTACAAATCCTACCCTAAAATATGGAAGTGAATCATGGACAGTTGGACGGTTAGTAAAACATTTTTTTGAAGGTAGCGGCAATGGGGTTTTATTGACGAATGATGAGAATACCACGGAGCAGTGTTTCTCTAACTTGTTTCGCCTCGGCACCCTTGTCTGGCAAAAAAATTCCGCGGCACACCTACCCTTTAAACTTGTTTGAATACTTGAAAGAACAAATAAACAGTGCGAATTTGATGTCCATTTGTCTTTAATGCGATGAATGAAACTGTTTGTCTGAATTTTTCATTATTTCCTTTATGTTTTTGGGAAGTTTAATTAATTATACCCTCAGATCACTTGAAGGTTGCTCCTGTATCTGTTTTTCAATATAAGCGTACGTTGAGAATGCACTGCAGTCTGAAACCTTGCCAATTGCATTGTTTTCTAAAAACACCTGCATCCAGAACTCTTATTGGCTTCCTTCGCTTTATTTCTGTTTTAAACGGCTGTCTTCGCAGATCTCAAGCAGATTGAAAACAAAAAATTCTTGAATATTGCCACGGCACCCCTGGCATACGATCGCGGCCCCCTGGCATACTCTCGCGGCTACCCTGGCATACTATCGCGGTCCCCCTGGCATACAATCGCGCCCCCCCCCCCCCCGGCATACTCTCTGTCGTGAGGTGAGCAGCCACCCTACACAATGGACGAATCGGGATTCTGAAGCCCACTACGCGGACAGTAAAATTTCAAACTTTAACCCGTCCAGAAGGGTATATAGTCCCTTATATTGATCTATACCTTTATCTGGTAGAATATTTATTTTTAGATTTTCTAGTTGCTTTGATAAATCTTCATTTTCAAACTTGCAACTATAGGTTGGCGAATTCTAGTATTTTATTGAGAAATTCATGTAAACCGGTTCACTCCGTGGACAGGAATACAAAGGAACTTCTTTCCTAGAAACGCTAGTTTGATTTTGAAAAAATCATTCTGCCGCCTGATCCCAGAGTGTCAAGACGTGTATACAGTCAAAGTAGAAATTTGGCGCATTCTAAGTTCAATTTCTATATTGAAAGGTTTCCTAAGCTTGGGTAAGTTGTACGAGTACCATAAATGATGTCTTTTTAAAGTTGGCCACTGCTGCAGAGAGGGCAGAGTCAGCTGTGTGATCGCACAGAGTTCGACCGTTCTTGATGTCCAGAGATCAGGACC